TTTATATTGACCGCGTCTCGTTTTTCTATCAAGGAAAATTGACTTTGTGAAAACTGTCTTTATCTTTTTTCACCTAGCCCTAGCCGAAGGCTAACCATGTCCAGTGTTTCTGTTGGTTTTTAGTTGTGCTGATGTAAACAAAATATTGATTACTGAAAAAAAAACAATCTGGAAGTGGAGACGCTATGCACGTTTTCATCCATCCATTTTCTTCCTCCATTGCACGAGAGATGGGGGTTACACCCCAGACAGGTCGCTTGTCTGCAGGGCTAACAGAGAGAAGAAACATTCTTGACTCTACTAGAGTATCTTTATATGAGGAGCAATTCCGAATAATGGCTTCATTTTTTATACTGGGCCCTTCTGCAGCTTCTGTCTGAAACTTTTTTTTTTCTCTGATTGGCTCCTCCTCTCAAACAGAACGCTTGACCAGCAGGTGGGTAGGGCTGCTGTTTAAGGAAATGCTGTGTGTCCAAGATGACCATATTAGGGATATCCAATTTCAGTGACACCCTGTAGAACCAAGCAGTAACAAAACTGACCTAGTTGAAACAGAAACAGCTTTTGACTCTGGGATTACTTATTTAAACAATGACCTTCTTGTATACTTGCTATGTTTAATTTGGATTTCTATAAGTGTGACAGTTAAAATACACGAGCAAGGAAAGTATTAATAGGTCCTTTTAATACTTCACCCATTAATAGTCATCAGGGGATGGGTGTGGGAATTTAACTTTGGTTATATGCTACTCTTTGCATTGACAGTACATGAGATACTGCGTTTTCTGTACTTGTCTATTGGAAGCTAATTATATAATAAATTCTCTGTGACAGGACTGACTTTTATTTGGTAGTAATTGTTATATTGCAGAGTCATTGAATTATAGTACAATCTCGTGTGTTATTCCCGGAAATTGGAAACTGCAGCGGCATGCAGTTTTGATCACTCTTAACTCAATATGTGAACAACTGCATCTGGACAATTACCTTAAGAGACTCTTGCAGGAGGATTGACCCTCAGATGGAGAGAGTGGATTTTCAAGGTGGGACATGAAGAATGATATGCTTTTAGGAGTCAAATTATCTAAGGAGTATTTTTCTAACTTCATTTTCCTTTGACCCGACCTAACCTAACACATTGAACATCAAGAGACAAAATGCCTGTAAACTGTTCTCTCTGTTGCATGAACCTTATCTTAACAATCAGTGGGAGTGCCACAATCTCTCTCTCACACACACACACACACACACACAGAACATTCCTTTGTGCAATTGGCTACAGGTAGAGTGCTGATATTTAAACTCAAGTCATCTCACAGTGCCCTGTCTGAACTGGAGAGGCTTGAAAAGCTTGTTCAGGTCTGCAGCCGGTGGCATCTGCTTTAAGGATCCAAATCACGCTGCAAAAGGCAAAGAAAATCAGCATTTATTTTTTAAACTTCATAGTTTGTCTGTTCAGTACACAGAATTTGACAGAATTGTCCTCCACCGCCCTAAAGGGACTGGAGCTCATTTAACTTGGATACAGGAGAATCGCAGACAAAGAAGCCACTTTCAGTGAAATAACCCAGGATAGCATATCTTTGATAGTTTTTTCCCCTCTGTCTTTCTGAACCTTTTAGCTCAAGTATTGCCAGCTGCAGTCACTCTCCTACTCTTAGATGTCTTCCTCTTGCAGTGTCTTTTGTCTGAGGTTTTGATGTTACAGCCTTTCATGTCAGAGAGAGACACAGTCTTGTCAGTGTTATTGCATTTTGAACAAAGGATCCTACGCCGACTCTTAAAATTGTGGCAGTTTATTATTATTTTTTAATTTTAATTTTATTTTTTTTGAGAATACATGGTCAGACTGTTTTGCACCTATTCACTGCAGGCCACTGGTCAACCTCCAAGAAAAAAACATGATCCTATAATATAGTAAGACATAATGGCCATAGCCTAGCTGCAAGCTAGCGTGTTTCAGCTTATTATTGTCCCCTGAGCCAGCAGGCTGTTAAAAGGCTATATTTTTATACAGCGGATTAACGTAATCCCTGCGATAAAATGACCTAACCATATAGCTGCCCTGCTTTGAGGGTATCTACAGTGTAGACAGCAGTATTATGGCCATATTTCTTTGCATTGGCTATAATTGTCCGTTTGCTATTCTGAGCTGCCACATCACCCTCAAAACCCTGGGAGACAGGTTTGACTTAGCTGATGCTATGATGGAAATGGAAATCTTTTGCTATAATAGTGAGCCACAGCAGCCGAGGCAGCTTGTCCCTTCTCCTTCCCCAGGGCTCTCTAAAATAAAATAGGAAGGGAAGTGCAATTCAGCAATTGCTTCTGTCATCCTCTCCATACCTAATAGAAAGCAAGTGGAGCATATTTCTGTCAAACATTGTCACATAAAATCATGATATTGCCAGCTCCCTTCGAACTATATAAAGCTACACAAAGCAGTATTTTCTGGTAGGCTGTTGAGCTACTGTTTGTCTATTTTGCATTGTACCTATCAGGCTGTTACTGAGCTACCTAATTTTACTTGCTGCTGTATCAATGAATATTTAATGAACACTCAATTTGTTTGGCTGAGTCAAACACCTACTTATGGTAATCTTGCCTGTCTGAGTAGGTACGTTTCTTAAAACTTGAAGAGGGTCTGCGGTGTAGTTGCTTATTGTTGAGTAGACCATAAATTATAAAGATGAAAACACTTTTCTGATATTTACTGCAGCACATAAAATAAATTCCTGTAATTTACCTTGCATGCACTGCTTTGTTTGTAATGAAAAGTCTACAAGACCTATCATTTTGAGACCTTAAAAGGTTTGCAAGGATCAAAGACAAAAAACGAATTAAAGGGAATGTGTTTCCACACGTCATTTTGAATGTTTCAAAGTTTCCAAAACAATATGAAAATTGGTCTCATAGATTTTTGTATTTGTATTTGTAGTTTATACAGCTTTTGTACCATGTGTGCTATATCATAGCGAATAAGCAGTGACCACATGCTTTAGGTGGATGAAGGTCAACTGCAAAGTGCTAAGTCATCTAGATGGATAGTTGAAGTGAATACTGGTGGTCTTGGATCATCAACTTTAGTGCTGCAGCAAACTGGATTTTAGTGGGGGCGTTGCCAGCGCCCGAGATTATATTCTCTTCCCATCTGTGGTTCTTTCTTTTCCTACTATCTGTCAGTGCTCTCTTTCACTCTCCAAATATTAATAGGTTCACTTTAGCACTTTGGATTTCTGGGAAGTTTTCATGATGTCACCGTCTCATTCTGAAAGATCTACGAATTGTTTTTTTGAAATAATTTGATGAAGGCAGACTATATGAGTGATTTTAATTGTTTTAGCATGAATGTTTAAACTATTCTAATTAACAGACACAAAAAGCCCCCATTTTAGTTTTACTTTCCAGGGTAGTGTTCTGCCACAGAGGGTGGTCTTTGGTTAGAAACACAGCTTTCTGTTTACAGCTTTCTCTTCTCTACATTACTGACAGGCATGACTCACAGCTGATTTGCTCTATTCATGAGAATCTTTCATTTGCATCCCCATTGATTCTGGCAGTTGAGTCAGGTCCTCTGACTCAGGCCAGTGCCCGTTGAGTCCACCTTCTGTGTGATAAAACAAACCTCTGGTTGTAGATGTTGCTTAGGAGATCTTCAGAGGGAGCGTTTCACCTGCCCACTCACTTAGTAAGCTTCATTTGAGGAAGAAAAGGGGAATAAAGCCCCTTATCCTAAGGCTGTTGCTCTTTGGCGCAGTACACACAACAGCTAAAAAGCAACCCAAATACTTTTGTTTCTGCACCAGCTGCTCTGCATGATTACCCCCTTCAAGTTTTTTGTGCCTGTGACCTAGCTGACCTCATGTTCCCACCGTAGCCCCCGTAGGCATGGCTATTCACAGCAACTCGGAGTACAAAAACCTGGCAGTGTAACCTGGAGGTTCTGGGCATTTAAAATAATACCGCTTTTACAGTTACACGCTTTTCAGGATACTCTGTCTGAAGTCACTGTGAAGGCATGACACTGTGCAAAAACCTGGGTTTGAAACAAAACAGTTCAGTATGTTCAAGGCATGCAATATCCTAAGACACCTTAGAAAATTGGTTTTATTGCTGCCTTATCAACTCCTCTTATGTGCTCATATTACAGATTGGGGGCATATTCCATTACGAGCCTTAAGCTTCTTAGCGCTTATCTTTTTATGAATGTATGATACTCGTACACTGACTTTTGATGTTTGTGTTTCCTGTCAGCGATTATATAGATTTTGGAATATCACAGACATTTCGGATGCATATTTTTTAAATCATCTGTGAAGGCTTTTGTTTGACTCAGCCCTTCTTATTTTAATTGTTTTGACAATTGTTGCCTATTATAGCTATAAAGATGAGTAATATTCCATATAAGTATTGATTTTTAGAGTTTATTTTAAAAGGTTGTAGGTGACTGTCTGCATTTGGATCCTTGCTGATAGACAGCTCAATTTTCTGCTCAGTGTCAGTGTGTTTATTTTCTGCAGTAGCTGGAGGCATACAAATTCCAATTTATTACAAACTGCTTCATTGAGATTGCCCATTTCTGTGTAGATTGATATAAACCAGCCTTGAGCAGCTGTCAGTCACACACTTGCATAAGAACCTAGCGGTTTGCTCATTCAGAGTCCTTGACGGGGTTTTTTAGTGTGTTTACATTGGGATGGAGGGATCTCTCACAGTGGTGACAGCACTAGTTGGGGAGTGAAATGGAATTTCAAGATCTGGCCTCTGGTTTTTCTGTTGACACAGAGGTATGAGACCTGGGAAGCAGATCTGCTATCAGTGAAGCTCACATATTATACAGTCTATACAAACAATGAACCAAGAGGAAATTGGACACCAATTCCAGAGAACTTTTATGTTTACCTTACTTCTACTAACTCTAACAGGATCCTCTCGCTTGTGATCTTAATTAGCTCTATCTAATCTACTGGGTTATCTGCTTCTCTCGCCTGCTGTTCCAGATGTTCCTGACTGTATACCTCAGTAACAATGACCAGCATTTTACTGAGGTTCCTGTTACTCCGGAGACGCTGTGCCGGGATGTGGTGGACTTGTGCAAAGAGCCGGGGGAAACGGACTGCCACCTATCTGAGATGTGGCGTGGATCTGGTGAGTGACAGTGCTCTTTTGTTTGTGGAGTATCTGAAGGAACAGGAGTCGGTGTGTGGACACATTAGTTCTTATTTTATTTAGACAAAAAGTGCTTTTTCTCATGTTGACCACTTTGTGGTTTGTGATTAGCTTTGTAGTCATCTGCTTGGCAGTTTTTAAAGTGTTTGTCTCTTTTGAATCTACCATGCAAATAGCGTAGAGCCCTAATCTCTGCATCAAACACAAGCGCCTAAACATTTCTTACATCTCTCAGGTGGGAGGTGAGGAGTGACGTTGAGATTTCATGCCTGCCTCATTTTCACCGTTTCTAAGAGTCAAAGAGTATACAACATCAGAACTCAAGGAGCCAGGCTTCATAGCCGTTTCCATGGTGATACTGCCATAGTAGTGAAAAAGTGCCAATTATTGTGTTTGAGTACTTCCAGGAGTGGTCTGAAAGGAGATTGATGAATACTGAAGAGATTGTCTCATTTTGCACCCATTCACCACAGGCCACTTTTGAATCTCCTTGAAAACACAGCAGTGACATTTTGCATCCAAATTAGATGTAAAGTTATAAATTATATTTATAATATTTTACTTAACTGCTTCATTTTGCATTTCTACCATTATTAAAAGATCAGTTTCACTCACCTCTACTTAAGCATAATGTGTCAGCTCATCTGTGTAATGAAATGCTCAAAGACAATGTCTGAAGAACAGCTGATGAGCTCAGTGCCAAGAGGCATAATTGACAGCACGTTATAGTTGTTTCCCCTGAAGTCATTGCTTAGATAGATCAATGGCATGCAAACTGTGTTGACAAAATGAATCATCCTTCAATTTGGGTTAGACTGGATTCACTGAGTAAATGGCATGTGCAAACTTGACATGCATTCATGTTTTAGCCAATCCAAGTGAAATATTATGAAAACTTGGGCTAAAATGTTTTATTTCGACTTGCAGAGAGACCTGTAGGTGATGGGGAGAGGATGCTGGATGTGCTCCAACGTTTGGGACAGCACAGATCAGAGGTGCGCTTCTTTCTGCGTCACAACAGAGCTCCTAGCAGGGAATCAGGTAAGCAACTGTTTGCAATACACAACAGATAGTGAAAAGAGGCTTTAATGTCTGATACTGCTCACACACAAGAGTTATGATTGGGTGAGCACTGTCTCCAGAGGTGCCTGCTGTCTTTATAATGCCCTATTCACTCAATAAACACTATGGTATTTTTCAAACGTTTATCCAGAAGAGGGCTTTATATTTGGAGCCCTCAGATCCTTCATCCTTGCTGGAATCAGAGTGTCCGAGTCACACTATCAGAAGTCTGTTACTGTTCAATTTTCTTATTAACACAGAAAAGTCTAGTATGTTTTTTCATAGACTATCCTCTCAACCCCGACTTGCATAACTAAGCCCTTTTTACCTCTCACAGCTTGAGTCTGGCCCAGGGATTAGGTGACTGTTTTCCCTTTGTGTTATCTTAGCCCGCTGTTGTTTTCCCACACTGAGAGCTTAGCTCTGATCATTATTTGCAACACGGCTCTGTATTAAATTTTTCAGTTACTGCATTTTTATGCGGGTTTATTTAGTCCTGTTGCCGTGTTTACATTAGTTACGGCAGTACGGATGTACTCTGTCCTGCCCTCAGGTTGCAGTTAGTTAAATGTTTATACTTCCCCGATACTGTTCGAGCATGCTCTTTTTCACATGTCGGAGGATAAAATGGAATGTCACCAATCTATTGGACTGCCAGTACATTTGAACTTCTTTTCATTAATCTAATGTTATGCCTGTGTCATGTCTGAGTAAGCAGCCACACTAATTATACTTTTTATAGACCTTTACTTTCAGCATAGCATAAATATGAAATGCAATCATTAACAAACAGGCACAGACAAAATTCTCAAGTTACTGGGCAAAAAAACATGATTAGTTTGAAGACTGCCCTAAACATGAATAATCTTACTTTTCTTCTATACTATTTTACTATAACACACAGACTCGGTAGTTAGTGACAAAGAACTAAACCTTAGAAAAGAAGGCCGAAAGAACTAAACCTTCAAAAGAGTTGTCACGCTTCACCAAATTCAGTGCCATGTGACAATAGTCAATGACACATAGGCAACAAAATGCCCCAGAAAATCATGGGTGTACTTCTGCTCTGTCATTGACTTGATCTATCTAAATGAAGTGAGGAAAATTAACGGAAAATTAATCACTGTGTGAATGTCTGAATGCTGTGACTATAACAGTTTGCGTCACTCTTGAGCTTAGCAGTGTCTTACATTCCCATCAGCGATTAACCAGCATCTATTAAACCAGTTATTTAGCTTCTGGAGCTGCAACCCATGAGGCTTTGATCTATGGGCTTGCATGAAGCTCTAATCGTGGTTGGTCAATCCTCTTTAAACCACATAAAGCTTCCTGTACTAACAATACTGAATGTTAAATTTGTTGATTTTCAGACATCTGTTTATAGCGATTAGTTTGTATCTAGCATGCATACTGTATGCTAGCAGTTAAACTATATAGTAAAGCTATTATGGGCTTTCATCATGGGATAATACTTTAGGGATAGGACCCAGATTATCAGACATGCATGCCAAATGCCAGTAAAACGGTTGGCTATATGGTTATATCTTCCTAGACAAGCATATATACATGCAGTAGTGTACCCACCCCACTAATAAGTCATTATTGATGAGGTTGAATCCCAAGAGATTTTTTACAAGTTACAAAAAGCACTGAGGTAAAGAAGTTAAAATAATTCAGCACTAGCCTCTCATTTTTTCAGCTGGTATACACCCTCCTCTATAGCATGTCAAGACAAACCTATAAATCTAAATGTGTATGACTGTTTGTCAGAGACACTGAAGGGCAAAAGGACAACAGGACGTTCCAGCCATTTTTTTTTTCTTGTTGATCCTTCATTTCTTTTAAGGTGGTCTAAATTTTAATGTCTGACGAAATCTCCACTTATTTCCATTACTTAGGAGGATCAAGAGGCTCAGATTCAAAGAGAAATGGAGTGAAGGGTCCCCCAGAGAGAAGGATGGAGAATGGGGTGAGTTATTAACTTTTTTTCTGACAAGTGGTTGAAATGGTTTACACTATTTTACATTCATTCACATTGAATGGTAGCTGATGTGAATAATTAGAAACATGTCAATTTGGAACAATGTCTATTTTTTTTTTTTTTAATTTTACTAATAAGGGTCATGCATTTAGTATCGGCATAAAGTCTTCTCCCAAAATGTAATTTCTTTATACTTGACGAGTTGAAGTTAATTGTGTGCTCTGGGATACTGATTAGTTCCTTTCAGTTCTCACACCCTGCAGTGTTTTTCTGCAAA